ACGCACACGTCCAGTGGTGGACTTGATCCCGGTCACACGCACAGCTCCAGTGGTGGACTGATCCTGGTCACATGCACACCTCCAGTGGTGGACTGATCCTGGTCACATGCACACCTCCAGTGGTGAACTGATCCTAGTCACGTGCACACCTCCAGTGGTGGACTGATCCTGGTCACATGCACACCTCCAGTGGTGAACTGATCCTGGTCACATGCACACCTCCAGTGGTGGACTGATCCCGGTCATGTGTACACCTCCAGTGGTGAACTGATCCCGGTCACGTGCACACCTCCAGTGGTGAACTGATCCTAGTCACGTGCACATCTCCAGTGGTGGACTGATCCCGGTCACGTGCACACCTCCAGTGGTGGGCTGATCCTGGTCACATGCACAGCTCCAGTGGTGAAAGGCTCCATCTACAGACAGGACCCAGATCCTCTCAAGGCAGCCCTGGCTCTCAGTCAGCTCATTAGCCTTTCTATTGTACTGACAGGCGGAGCAGGGGACAAGGACATCTGGCCACCTGCTCCTGTGGTAGGAGACATGGGAATGACCCACCTGGTCCACCTGGATAGGACACACCTGAGAACAGGTGGATCCCTGGATAGGTGACAGGCTGCGTGTGGCTCTATGACGGAAACTTGAGCGCCCATGTCTCCATAGACTGGCCTGTCAGAGTGACAGAAGACGAGGGAAGAAGATGCACGGAGACGTTCCAAGGCATACAAAGACACAACAGGCCACAGCACCACTGGCCATGAGAATACCCCATTACAAGCCGTGAATAAAGGCAAAGCTAGGGGCCCAGCCCCTGGTCTGTTCAAAAGCTGTGCAAGAGGAATAAAGGCATGGAACTGGTCAGAAAGAGCAATCACTCTCCTCATGTGTTCCAGACTTTTCCCAGTTGCTGCCAGTGCTGTGTATTGTTTTTGTAATAATAACTTTAAAAAGAAGTGATCAGCCCGATGCCAGTGACTCACACCTGTAATCCTAGCTATTCAGGAACCTGAGGTCAAAGACAACCTGGGCAGAAAAGTCTGTGAGATCCTCTCCCTAAAATAACCAGCAAAAGGCTGGAGGCAAGGCTCAAGCGGCAGAGTGCCAGCCAAGCAAGCAAGTATGAGGCTTGAGTTTACACCCTAGTACTGACAAAATAATAATACTAAGGTGTTTCTGCAGGGGACGAAGGAGCCGGCCCGGCGCGAGTCCCATAACCAGCTCTCTCAGACACAGCACGCCTCCCTACTGCTGCGTCCACACCCCGCTCCGCGTGCCCTGCGTGTGGGAACCCCGGACTCAGGAAGCACAGAGCCGCCTCGAGTCTCCACCCCACAGACAGGGCTTCCCTCAGCAGTGCCTCCCAAACACCGGCCCTTCCTGAAAGCTGGCAGCGATGAGCCAGCCACCACCCTGAAGAGCTCCACCAAAGGAGTCCAGCTTGCGGATATCCACCCAAGGAGGCAGCGCTGCGGGTGCGTTCAGGACCATGGCCAGCACCCCAGAGCGAGCCTCCCTCTCGGCTGCCCCAGCCCACCTCCTGGCATGGAACTAACTCCCAGAAGAGGGGGGAGCGTGACCCTCAGCCCCTCCCCTGTCTCTGGCTGGCCGCCTCCCACAAACAGCACACACAGAGCTACTCAGCAACACTTGCTGTCTGGTTCAAAGGAAAATGTGACTGGAGATGAGAGCATTTTCAGAGTCCTTCCTCTAGGCATCTCGCCTACAGACACGGACTCCGCACGTGTTTGTGCAGACATCCGCTTGCAGGAGCCTCCGTGCAGCGCTTGGTGGAAACCATAGAACGGGCCTCCGTGAATGGGGAACCTGGCATAAGTGTATCCATGCACCTGGGCCACCGTCCCGGCCCTCACGGTGCAGGCAGCACACGCCCAGTCATGACCTACACGGAGGTACATGCGCTGAACCACCAGGACGTGTGCCAAGAACGTCTGGGAAGAAGCTCTGCTCTTTTGCATTCTGAGGCAGGTACTGAACTCAGTAGCTGACATTTTTGCTCACTGCCTGGCACTCTACCTGAGCCATGCCTCCAACCCCTCACTAGACATTTTTAAATATGTCTCAGGGTTTTCCGCCACGCTTTGTTTTCCGTGTGTGTTCTTTGTGAAACTGACCTATTCTGGAAGGAGATGAGAGGGGGCAGTAGTCTCCAGTCCACCAAGAGGCCTCCCAGGCTGGCTTGGGGGTAGGGAGGTCAGCTCCAGAAGCTGCTGACCGGCACCACCCCACCACGGGGCCTGCCCCAAGCAGGGCTGTCCCTTGCAGAGGCTGGCCTGCTGGCTTTGCGCCCAGGAGCATATTTCTGCGCTCTGAGAGAGGCAGTCACGGAGACCTGCCCACAGCGCAGCTCAGTGCCCCACACACTCACCGTGACTCCTTGTCCACAAGCCCTGACCGGGCCTTCCAAATCCCTGCCTTGCCCTCAAAGCTCCTCGCTGCTCCTCACTACTGAACCCAAGGCACTTCGCCCTTCCCCCTGCTCCCCGGAAACTGTCTTTCCAAGCCTAAACAGAAGCGTAAGGAACAGGACAAGGCAGGACCAGGAGGCCAAGGCAGACCCCGGCCACAAAGGGGGCGGGCAGAGCCCCGGCCTGGGCCCCCACAGAGGGGGTTGAAGACACTCAGGACTCTTCCTGCCGCCCAGGCAGCCTGAGGCTCCTGGCATCACATGACACCCCAGAGCTCTGCAGATACTGGTTCCAACAACTCCTGTCAGAATGTGCTGGAACAATCACTTTTCTGGACAGTCACAAAATTATCCCCAGTAATGCAGGAGGAAACTGAAGACCTAATTTTGTGTGAGGCAGGGAGCCGGCAGAGCCAGTGGCGAGAGGCTCTAGAACCGATCCGGCCTCAGGTCCAGGCCCAGAGAAGCCTCTGACACCAAGGCCTCGCTTCTGTGCAGAGAAGCTACTACGGGAGCGGTGGGGCACTGGCCAGCAGCCCTTCCTGTGGGCCACTCGAGCACAAAGGCAGGGACAGCCAGGGGACATGGGTCTGAAGACAAAAGGCCCTGGGGGACAGCCACGTCTCTCTGCGTCTCACTTCATCTAACCATCCGCCTGCCTGGCCCTGGGAAGGAAGTGCTAACGGGAACACCAAGAGCCCAGAAGACTCTTGCAGCCAAGTTGTGCGCCAGGGCTGCAGCCTGGCACGCTGGCTGCCTCTGCCATTATTCTCGGCCTGCTTGCAGAATTTCCTTTCCAAGATCCCACCTGGGAAACACAGACAGGAAGCCCTGCACCGGCTCACATCCCACAAGGGGACACACCTCGGATTCCCAGGGGAGACCTGGGACCGGTCAGCAGAGAGCCTGCGCCCACAGAGAACCCAGCTGGAGTTGGCGGTGGATGGCTGGGCAGCAGGGTGGCCGTGTGAGTCAGCTCCAGGCTGCTCCTCGGGGACAACCCCAGAGCAGCTTCCCCTCTGCCCTCCACGCTGGACCCAGCTGCACTGTGCCCGCTGTGGTTAGGCAGCTGGACAGGTGCCGCGTGGCCACCTCCTCCCAGCCTCAGCCTGGCGCGTCACCACAAGCCAGCAAGGCACCGTTTTAAGACGCCCCTGCTCAAGGAGCTGTCAGCACATTGCTGTCTGAAAGCAGAGCTCAGCTCCAGCCCCTGAAGGGAGAGGGGCGCGCGTCCCACACACGAGAGCAGCACTCATGGAGAAGTGGGCCCAGCCTGGCTGACTGCACCCCAGCCTGGCTGACTGCACCCCAGCCTGGCTGACTG